GCCTGCTACAAGCGGGACTACGAGAGTGACCGCGAGAACCGGTCCCCTGAGCGCTGCTCCCGTGAGCACCACCGTGGGGCCGACTTCTCCAAGAGCTCCCTGCCCGAGAGGGGCCGCTTTGACAAGGTGAGGGTGAGGCTGTGGGTGCCATGCCAGGCACCAAAATATGTCCCGCTCTGGAAGAGAATGGGGCTAGAGCAGAACGGTCTGTGCCCAGGATGGGATATGAGGGTTTGAGAATGCCCAGGGATATGGGGCTGGGAGCAAGCTGGTTCTCCCTGGCTTGTGGTGCCTGTGTGTGCTGGTGGGGGCTGTTGGGCTCATCCTGACCCTGGTCTTGTTTTTCAGTGCCGTATCAGGCCCTCGGCCTTCAAGGCGGTGGCTGGGAAGGGGCTGGTCTCCATGCAGGGCCTGTCCTCGTCCAAGGGGCAGAAACTGTCCAAGAGCAATGGTAGCCTGCACACGCTGCTGTCACAGAGCAGCACAGTGGCCTCGCAGCATGGCCCGCTCCGCACCCACCTGCTCCACGCCATCAGCCTGGATGAGGCCTCTGACTCCAGCCACAACTCCATTCAGAGCTTCCCCTCCTATGGCTCCCCCCTCCAGAGGGCCCCCGCCTCAAGCCTGCCCAGAGCCAGTTCAGTGCCTCTATGGGCCACATCAATCACATCGGGGGCTCCTTGGACAGGGTCTCCCGGAGCCCCAGGGACCCCCTGGCCCCTGAGAAGGCACCCCTTTCCTGCAAAAGCATGGCCACGCTGAGCCGGCTGCAGAGCCCTGGGGAGCCCCCACCGCCCTACGAGTTCACCTACTCACTGGAGGATGCGGTGAAGCAGCTGGAGGACCGGCTACAGGAGACAGGAGGAGAGCTGCGGCAGCTCAAGAGGAGCCTTAGTGAGACCGAAGACCCCTTCACGCAGGTGAGTCGCGGGGCTGGGGCTGCGCTGGGTGCACTGGGCAGGTGCGTAGGGCAGCGCTGCCTGGCTGGAAGGAGCTGTGAAGGAGCTGATGTCCTGCTGTGGTGGGCAATGGGCTGGGAATGTCCAAGCGTGGGAGGACCCAGTATCACAGGACCTTCTGGGATCCCTCTCTGGGGCTGCCTCGCCCAGGGACCAGCT